ACAAAAATAATCTAAGTATCACAGATTTGTTATATAGAAAAAAAATGTATCACTTACCAATCCGATGTACAGAATGACTTATTCTGCAATATAGCTATGACGATTCTGTAACACAAATAGAATATTTAAATTAAAACAGCGCTCAAAATAATCGATATTTCAAAAGATAATTATTGAGAGATGCATGTATTCCGTTATCTTTTTAATACAGAATATATATTTCATTATATTACATGCGTATTTAAGGCTCCTGAGTACTCAGCTGAGAACTTCGCGTTGACGTACCGTTGTGATAAAAAATAGAAACTTCATTCATCCTTATTCATCTTATTCTTATCCTTATTCATCTTTATATGTTCATCTTTATAAGTGACGTGCGAACGATATTTTTTATTGCGGTTATTTTCGTTATTACGTTCTTAATCGTGCAGACTTGTCTTAATCGTGTGACTTGTTTCGTACTTACCAGATTCATAAAAATGGGCGGCAGTAAAAATTATTTTCGGACATTATATGTAAAAGCATTTTTTTTAACACTTCTTTCAACAGCTGTCAAATCATGTGTTTTCTGTCTAAACAGCCTTCATTTCATATGCCTTTTTACAGCTATTTATTAACTATTAGGAAGGGAAAGAATAGCAGCCGTCCATTTTCATTTCTTAAAGTTATATTAGGTGTTATTTTCGTCAAATATCTCTTTATTTGCAAAACTACCGCTATAAACTTTATTGTGTCATTTCTCGCCTATGACGTCACGATTCCAATATGGCCAGCCGATGACTCAGGAACTTTAAGTAAACAGATTGCTACAAAATCAAATAATGAATATAGAGAATTAAGAATCGCATTCAAGCATAAAGTTTTTTATATAATTATGCTAAGGAAATCGAAAGTTATACTGTGATATTTGTGTTAAACTAATACAATTCAATAAGAAAATATCTGTGATATTATAGATTTCGAAAATATGGATTTTTAGAAGGCATTTGGATAAATATTACTTAATATAGATAACTTATTCCTGAATCCTTAATTTGTGACTCAGAATTTATTTTAAAATCAATTTCGAATTTGAGCCAAATCTAAAAAGCACAACTTGAATATACAATTACATGGCTTATAGATAATAGATATAAGAATAAATTTAGAGTGCAAATATAAGAATATACTTATATTGTTGCTATATATTGCTATATTGTCAAGAATTATTTTTCATAATTTCTATTGTTGTTTTTCTAAAGGAAACGTTAGCAATATTAGTATTATTTAACATAATTGTTCTACCATAATTGAGAAAATTAGAAAAATCATAAAATAGAGGCTCCATTTAAAATATCTTTCTTTTATTTTTTTATTACATTTTTATTATACTTTTAATGTTTGACGATATAAATTTAGCATAAATTTAATGCAAGTCTCAAAATAAATTAATTCTGAAGGGACTAACTTCTAAAAAGTTCAATTCTATGATAAACCTCCGATTTTTAATAATATTTTATCAATATTTATATGTATAAAAACGTTTTCAACTCCATTTTAGATTCTTATTAAGTCAAGAAAATATCTATCAAGAAGGTGTTTCATTGTATCATCTTAATATTTTTAAACTGAATTGGATGGACAATTATTAAAATGTTTATCATATCGTTAAAAATGTTATTATATTGTTTAACAATCGTGATTTTTCTTTCAGCCCGAACGCTTATGTTCGCCGACATGGGTGTTACATTTTCAGAAGGGCAACAGTTTCGAGTGCGCCACGCTTTTGGCAAGTTTACTACTAGGGCAGGGTTATAATGCATTCGTGGTGAATGGATATGCATCACGCGAACAAATCCTTTGTGACATGACTAGAAGAATTTGTCCATACTTGCCGAAAACAGAACAAACATCACCATCAACCGATACCCCTAAGATTGCCAAGTATCAATTAAAGGCACCACCTGATTTCAGGAGTCGATTTCTTTTAGAGTTAGAAGATCGTGAGAGAAGAAAAGCGGAAGCAGAATTACAACGACAGAAAGAAGAACAACAGAGAATGATCGCTGTATGTATACACAGAAAAACGAGTTACCCTTTTATATTATTTTTAATATGTTATTCAATAAATGTTTACTAATTGTTTGATAATTTTATATAAACTTTCTTTTTCCTTCTTTCCCTCTTCCTTCCTTTCTGTTCTTTTCTCTTTCCCTCTCCCCTCTCTTTCTGTACCTTTCCCTATTTTTCTCTATCTAATACATCAACACAATCCCTATTTTCTCTATCTAATACATAAATCTTATCATTTAATATGTGATATATAACTATATATGATTTTCTAGATAAAAACATAATTTTCTATTACAATTTGAAGATATAAAAATTTTAAAGATTTTTTTCTCCTTTTCTCTTATGCTTTTTTAAATTTTTCATCAATTATTTCGATATGTCAATCAGCATTGCAATTGTTAAAAGTCTATTGGTATTTTAGGAATTCGAACGTCCACAGTTAGATAAATATTTTGGTTATCGAATACACGCGTGGGTAGTTATCTTACCAGAAGATAAAGGTATGAGACTTCAAGAAATTGCTGAACCAATTTTCGTCGAAGCTTCTTCTGGCATGTCTTACAACCCAGCCGATGAAGAAACCAATTCGATATATTTAGGAATCGAAAGCATTTGGAATGACCAGAATTATTGGATGAATATGCAGCCACAAGGAAAAGGCTGTGCTGAAATCAATTGGGACTTGAATAGGATTGAACTCTGGGAGCATTTGCTTCCTGGTGAGCCACAAATCATGCAACATGACAAAGTCGAGATTGAAGAAGATATTAGTATTGAACAAAACAAGCATTTGGATATGCCAACTTCGTATGTGAATGAAATCTACATTGACAGTTCAGGTATGTAAATAAATAAAAATATATATATATATATTTTAAAGTATTTGTGCATTTTACTTTAACGATATAATCTTCTCAAAAATCAAAATCTCAAATCAAATTTATCAAATAAAAAGTAGACAAAGTCAATAAAATTATAAACTAATCAAATATTTTAATAAAATTAAATTACAAGTAAATTTACAAATGATAAATATCATTAATAAATTGATTAATATTATTAAGTATCAATTCTGAAACACTTTAAAATATTAAATATAAAACATTTTATATTAAAATAGAAAGTAAGTCAGAATTTTCATCTATATGATGCATAGCAATAGAGTTGAAATTACATTAATCTGTAACATACAAAGTACATTCGAATCAAAATAATTAATACTTCAAAGACTATTAGTCAGTTCCTTCAGTTTTTGTTAAAATATTTAATAAAAATTAAATTTTCAAAAAATAAACATATAATTCTAATCTAATTTTTTTCTAATCATAATAAAAAAAATGTAATATTATACGAAAAATTTAAAAACTTTTCGTATAATATTAACAAAAAAGATTCTCTGTATTATAATAATCGGCAATAACAAATGAGAATCAGTGCGATGGAATTTTTTATTATTAAATTGAGTTAAAATTGAAAATACAATTTATGCACCGTCTACAGCACTGACTTTTATTTATCCCTTTTATCATCCATTATTTTCATATAATTTCAATAAAGGAGAAGCTTTTTTTACATTAAGCTAGTATTTTCATTTTCAATCGCAATTTGTTTCTATATTGCTTAACTGCTACAAAAAATAAAGTTGTTAAAAATATAATCAGCGTACAGAAAATACTTCATTTTGGCATACGTATTTTATTTCAATTTTTGCAAAATGTTAATTTAATAAAAGTAAGTGTAAAATTAAAATAACAAAAATAGCGAACGAGTGCAATGCATACCATAATCATACCACGGACAAAAAACTAATCCATAAGTAACAAAATCAGATTAAAATAATCATCTATAGTTGTTTCGCTAGATGCTCTCTAAGCTTCCTTCTCTTCTCCTCAAATTTTTATTGCCTCTTTGCTATATTCATATAAATTCACTTACACTGACTTTTTTTTATATATTCTTGATGTTCTCTTTCATACTATTACTACTACTATTCCTTATTCTTGGCTGCCTAATGGCGTCGATACAGGCCACGATTCAATTAAAAAAAATATAATTTGAGAAAAAACGACAAAGGTGTGAGCGAAGATCGAAGAAAGAGCGTGATGATTCAAAAAAAAAACTTTAAGTTATGGGGACAAAATATCTGATCCGCTCAATGGCCCAAGAAAGATTGTTCTTTATATGTGATTTTATTACATTAAAACAAAAGAATAATGTCGGACATATACGCGAATAACGTGTTATTTGAAAATGCTGTTAGATTGGCTGCACTCAGCAGAGAAAGCAGCTTTGCAACTGTAAAAATCTTTGATATGATTGGTTTTATTAATTCCTCGTGGACCTCTAAATATATAAACCAATATTAAAAATATAAACCAATCATTAAAAAATTTCACAACAGTTGCAAAGCTACTTTTTCTGCTGAACGCAGCTATCAACTCAACTCGCTACACTACTTGGATCCGTATCAGACTACCAACTGTGAAAGCTGACTTGAAATATCAATCAAATTCTCATTACAAATACCTTGAAGCGTGTGACCAATCAGAACAAGAAATTTTATCAATTGACCAATCAAAAAAATGCTTTAAAGCATGTGTAGGATTAAGGGTGTAGTCCACTTGGTGCTACAAATGCTTCAGGCATTTTTTGATTGGTCAATTCTTAAATATAATAATTTCTTAAATAAAATTCTTCGTTCTGATTGGTTAATCAAACGCTTCGAAACTTTTGCAGCGCTAAATGGACCATAGCCTAAATTGATAGCCTATTTATGCTACTAACCTTAGGTTTGTTTTCTGTTTATACACTGAACTGCAGTAAGACTTTCTATTTCGCTTTTGTCAAACTTTAAATATATTTCTATTTCATTTTAAGTACAATGAGTGTACACTAATTCAATTACAAAAAAAAAGACCGCTTGTTGGTTGCACCTGTGTAATTCATAAGTTGGCCGTACTGTTGAAATATTCGCGCGCTTAATATTTGCTTAAGATCACATGTGTTTTGCTGTGTAAAGTGCCATATCATTCTTTTGTTTGTGTTATATAAAGTCATAATGAGTTCTGTGTGGAACTATTTTTTTTAATCAGAAAAGAGAAATATTACTAAATGTAAATTATGTTCTGAAGACGAAAACTTTTGGGACACCTTCTAACCTCTTGGCACATTTAAAAACAAAACATTTGTTTGCATTTAAGGATTTGTTTGAAAAAAAAAACAGAGGTAAACTTATATTGTTTTTAAAATTATAATAAATATTGTAATATACAGTATGTATACATATTTATCATATATAAAATTATTGTATAAATCATAAAATTTGAGAATAAAGTTTGTTTTATTATTTATATGATGCAAACATAAACTGTATTAATTTGTTGAAACAAAATTAAAAAAATGATAAAATTTGGTCGATATTTTAAATTAAATAAAGAGAATTAAATAAAATAGTAAATAAATTAAACATCATATATAAAGTTATTTTATATACAAACATTATTTATAAATACATTATTTCATACAAATACAAATATGTTGCCAATTTAAATATTGCTTGAGGAACATTGAATAATTTAGAATTTTGAATAACCATTCTTGAGTGTATTCAAGAGTATGTCAATATGATGATTTGTCGATATGATATTATCTGTCGATATGCTATATCTCTTGTTACATTATATATTATTATTCATAATCAATTTTTATATTTAAGATTATTTTAAGTATATACTTTAAACAACCAAAAATCATATTTGCATTTTAAGTATTAATTAAGACAATGATCTTGAAATGAGAACGGACAAAATCTCATTTTTTGATTGTAATCAAATGCTATGTGAATAATCAAGTTTGGCTGAGAACAATAAAAATGCAATTTTAAATTGGATTGAATATCTTTTTAGATATATACATTTATCTAATATACATACAAGATAATAAGAGATATATTACAAATTAATCCTAATTTTTACACTTATGCAAACTTTCATAAGACCCATTGTTTAATAATAGCTTTATATGATAATATCAGGCACTGTTGTAAGATTTTTTAATATATTATTATTTTTTTGTTCTTTCTCACTGGATTTAAGTATATAAAACTCATATGATCACACTGACAATCGTATTAAGGAATTTGTAACACTTGCGCAAAGCTGCTGTTTCTGCTGAATGTAGCCATTTTTTTATGTGGCGGTGAAGTCTGGAACACAGCCATGGTGTAGAGACTGTGGAGTTCAACGTCGAATAGAGTTTATTCCTGTTACTGCCTACCTCCACCTACCACGCCCATACGAAACGCCCATACGAGACTGCGTTCGGAGACATCACTCGGGTTGTGGTCGGCGATAAATTTGAGAGGACGGCAAATTTTCGAAAACAGAAAATTTTCCAGTCTACCATTTTAAAGTATACACCTTTATAAAATACATTTATAAACATTTTCACTAGCAAATGCGTGAGTATAAACTTTTTCTTTATCCATTTTCCCTTTTATCAAATTTGATGAATTAATGAAGTCACCTGAGGAGGCGGCTAAATGTTGGCGTCCAGAAGCAGCAAAATATTTAATCCGCCAAGTATCTCATTCTTTTCGACCACATGTAATAATATTTATTGCAATAATTAGATGAGTTTAGAACGACACGTCTTTTGAGCAAAATTACTTTTGAAATTAATTTTTATATATATAAATTCAAAATTAATTTTGCTTATATCACGAACTATACGTGCCATTATTTTTAACGGACTTACGACGCAGCAGCTCAAAGCTGATTTTATAAAAATATATCGATAATCAAATTTTGTAGCTATGTAAATTTGTTTGAATAAGCTTGTAGAATCAAATAGACATTTATTGATATGTTTCAGCTTTACTTTATTAACATAGTCAATCTTTTATATATCAAGATAAAAAATAATTTATCTATTTATTACAATGTTTACCATGAACGATTTTTATCATATGAGGCAAATGAACATGTAATGAATTTATTTTGACAACTCATATTTTGTAATATTATGTTGCAATATTAATTATGTTATAAACGAATAAGTTTCGAAGCAGAAATTCGATTTCTTAATAAAAATCATTGCATTTTTCTATGATAATCTCGATGGTGTTAACTCGTCGACAGTAATACTTATCATATCATCATCACTGTTTGAGCGGGCGAAATGTCAGTTTTGTAATTTATGAACTTCAATTGCTAATAATTTAAAAATTATTGTAACCTCGAGATTTTTGTATCAAGATTTTTGTTTTAAAATATTCCAAAAAATTTGTCCTTAGAAGGAAATGCGCGGTTAGTTTTGGGACACTCTAATGATTATACATGGACAATATTTCTCATTTCTTAAAACATAACTTTTTGTAAAAGAAACAATGCGAAATTATTCTTTTGATTATTTTTTATGTTTTTTCATTATTATTATTTTTCTTATCCAACAAAAATTTTATAAAAAAAAAAATTAATATGGGCATATAGGGACATCGTGTGTGTAATATATAAATTCAATATACATATATATATATATATATATATATATATATATATATATATATAATAATAATAACAAAACAAATAAAAAATAAATAAATAATAAATAAAATAAATAAAATAAAAAAAAAACGGAAATTAAGTAAGTAAGTTAAGTTAAGTAGGTTAGTTATTTATTAGTTATTATTATAACACAACAAAACTAATAATATATATATTTTTTTTTATTTTTTTCTTTTTAACAGAATATTCTAGTATGTTCTATATAATGTATTTACTTATACATCATATTTTCCAGATTTTGAAAGACGATATCCACAGGGCAGCAAAACGATACTTTATAAAAAGGCCAAGGTAGAATTATACGCGCCATATATTCGGACCGATGGTTTAATTCAGAAGATTATTATTTATGACGATTATAAATACATCAATCCTATTCAAAGTTATGAAAAATACTTGAATAGAAGCGACTGTCTTGTGGAATCCAGAAAAGATTTCGTTACTGATACTGTCGTAGATTCTTTCGATAAGGGTCGATCAGACTATTGCAAAGGTATATGTATAATTCCAAGTAAAATTATAACGTGAACTCGGTATAATCGTTTTGTATTAACATTAAAAATATTTTAGCGCATCGTTACTTTGCATCCGGCAGTAATTCGATAGACAGCGAGAGAGCAATAGATTTTTATGATAGCGCACAGTTTGATGGACTGTCGCGCATAGAGTTGGGTCCGCTTCATTTAACTCAATATTACAAGAATCGTGAAGATTTTCTTTATTACAGGTAAACTGGAGAACTTAACTTTGTTAAGACCTGAGTGAGATGGATGCGTTTTGTTTTTGCGTAAATTTTTTGAAACAGCAGTTACGCTTCGAATTTGTTCTGTCACTTTAAATTTGTTAGTAATAGTAATATTAGTAATCCTTATAATGATAATCCTTATATCACTTTAAATTTTGTTTAATAATAGTAGTATTAGTAATCCTTATAATGGTGTTGATTCCTCATGGGTCAACATATCTGATTAGCAAAAATAATGCATGCAAAGTAAAATTTGGCAAATGATATAACAAAATTTAATTAAGTGATAGAATAAGTGAATAATATAGGTGAATTGACGTCTCGACATTTGTCATATTCTTATCTTTATCGTGTCCCACGTTAAATGTCAAAAGATTTTGATATATTGAGAAAAAAATAATATTTTTGTATTTTTTCTGCATATGTAACTTTTCACATGCCATGAATACTAATGTTTTTTGTATTTTATTTTAATAGACACATTGAATTTTCGGTAGACCAAGGCAGCTCAGCAGTGGATGGTATCCATTTTCGACATATCTCAGTAATATTTTACATACAAATTTACAAATTTCTGATTAAACTTATTACTTATAGTGAATGCATGAGACATTTGATTCTTTTTGCATCTTGCAGAAAATCATTGAGAAATATCACAGAAATGAGAAAATTCCGGCTTGCAAGGATGTAGCTATCCGCGAATTTGCGATAATCGAAAACGAAATCTGTATTAAATTTCATTATGAACAAGATCGAAGTACTCGAGCTACTCGTACATTCATAAAACCGCCAATAGCGGATAGAGGAGATCGCTTAGTTTTTGATCCTACGATGACTTACGGATATAACGTAAATTTTCTGCACAAAAATATTAGCAGGACGACATAATCTGAAATTTTTCTTCTTCTCTTTTCTTCTTGCAGCCAGATCCGACTGCACCACCAGAGAAAAGCCTCGATCTTTTTTACGCGCTTGATAAACATTTGAAAGACGAAGACCACACTATGCTCTCTATCAAAGACGCCGAAGCCGAAATTACGACGTTCTTGCGAAGAAGAGCTGACGAAAATTTAAATCCGCAACTCGTAGTTTCATTATTCGATAGAAATCGAGCAGTCAAAATGATAGCCGAATTAGAAGCGGTACTTATCAGTCATCTAATCTATTTAAACTTTTTTATTAATTGACAACAATCTGTTTTCAGAAAGTAAAGCATCCAACTTTGCATGATATCACACAAGAGATTAACGAATTGGGACCGTATTTAGCGCGAATAGGCAATCCAGCGCATATCAGTAAAACGGAAGCGTATCTACTGCGCGATGATTGTTTGAGTGACTTCAAGCAGGTGTCTATTGACAAAGCGAATCGTATTTTACATATGATCGAAAAACAAGCTATAGAATTGGAAAAGATGCAAGTTCTCCTAACACAGGTCAGAAGCTTTTATACCACAGACATCTATATAATATTAGACCCTTAACTGCGTCCCTTTAACTATTAAAATATCCTAAATCCTTTTTATTGATAAAAATGTCTTTAAAAGGCTTATAACCATAACAATTGCAAGGTTTATAAGTCATTTTTAAAAGCATTTTTATCGATATATTTCATAATTTTTGTATATGGACATATTTTACGACGCTTTATATATATAATTATATGTC